ATTGATGAGAATGGCGGGGCATTGAGGGGAGGAGACAGACTGTGTTGCAGTGGCACTGTCTGAAGCCTAAGATGCCCCAGAGTCTCTGAGAAAGCCAGTCAGGAAACCCGGCCATGTTGAGGAAGCAGAAGCTGAACCCTCGAGCTCGAGGACAGATGGGTATGTTTGAGGGTAGGTGGTGCCATCCAACCACTACCCAGAAACAGCTGCACCAAGAGCAACCCCAAATACCCCAGCATGGCAGGGGTACGGAGGATGGCAATTCACATCTTTCAAGCTTAAGGGGGACACAAATGCACACAGACGCACACAACGGATTTCTCCTCCAAGCGAGTGGTGACAAAGAAGGATGCTACAGATGACTCGGGTGAGGTTTCTGGGGGCCCTCCCCCCTCGCTGTGGCGCAAACTCATAGATAACACTTTTAGAGAAAATTACCTTGAGAGGAAATGATTAATCAGGGAAAACCAACAAGCACGCTTGCGGTAAGATTCCAGAAAGCCTTCCACCAATCGCTGCTGTTGAGGTAATTGTTCTAAATCCATCAATAAAGCTAAGCTGCCCCTTCATTGACTGCAAACACCAATTTCTTTCACTCGGGATTATAAGTTGATGTCCACGGTCTCCCTTCTGCCATTAGGGTGATAAACAGTTTAAGCTACATCAGGATCTGACGCGTAGATCAATTCTGGGTCCATAAAGAATCTACACAAGGGCTTCCGGGACAGGGATTTACTGCGCCCCGTTTTTATTCTCTCTTGCTGGTAAAATTACTTCTGTCAAACACTTACGAGAGTAAGAAAAAATGTAAAAAAATTAATTTTTCATGGGCCGCTGGAACGGCCTTCTTCAACGCAGAAGCTGAGAGACGAATATGTTTCTACACTTAAAAAAATTAGGCTGGGCAGCAAGCGGAGAGTGGAGAAACTGTGATCCCGCTCCTTGATTCTGCACGCTCTCCAGCCGACAGCCACCTGAAAAGCGGAGAGGAGCTGTCGAGATCTTTCTCTCAGGGCAGGCGCGGGGTCTCACGCTACTGATGCCAAATGATATTAGACATTTAATTTCCAACCTCAGGTACTCAAATGTAAAACCTTCCAACACTAATAGTCATAAACCAGTGGGGCATTCCATTGCGCAGAATGGATTTTTCTATTTTTTCCTCCCTTAATTGAGCGGCGCCTCCTGTTTGGTGGCTTGGCCCATGACAAAGTAATTTATCTAATTAGGAGCCTCTCATGGTTGCTGAAAAAGACAGGAACCCCAGGATACCTGGCGAGCCAGAGAGGAAGACTTTGGAAAGTTCTCTGGAGCTACTCAAAGTATTAATTTAGTGTGGGAAAAGGGTGCTGAGAATAATGGGAGCCCGACGTGACACATGTTTTCTCTGTGATCAAAGTCGGCGACAGTCAGCCGGCACGTTCTCCAGGCTCCTGGAATTGGAATCCTGAGGCTATTTCTCTTCTCCCCATGCCTGCTGCCTACAGAGTTCCCTTTTTTATGACTAGCAAATTCAGAATTCTTCCTGGGCAGGGCAAAAGAGCTGAAATTAAAAGAGGGGTCGTTTGGGTGCTTGCCTCTAAGTCTGTGCTAATGGTAACCTCAAAAGTTAAAAAAAATCACCTCCCCCAACTGTACATATACATTGTGCCTTTCCCCATCATTTTATTGGCCTGTGTCTGCACTGAAGTGTGGGCTACGTGGCTAGCCACAGGCACTACCCTGAAATTGCACGTGAGGGCATGTGTGTGAGGAAAATCATGAAAAATGGCGGGCAAGCATTTGGCAAACACAGTAGAAGGCGTTTTCTGATAGACTAGGAGCTCTCTAAGGGTCGGGATGGGCTTTTGCCTCTTTTTATCCCTGGCACTTGGCACACAGCAGGAGTTTAATCCGTGCTTGTTGACTTGACTTCCTTCACTTTTCCAAAAGGAAAGTAACAGCAAGCTCAGTGCTTCGCATGGATGTTTCCAATACGATAAGTAATAATAAAAAAGAAATAAAGAACTAGAAAGACAAAAAAGGGAAGCTGACCAATACTCATCTGCTTGGAGCCCAGCTGAGCGCAAAGGCCCCATCTCCCATGACATCCTGGCCCAGCTTCCTTCCCTCCAGTGCCTTTCTCCATTTGCCAGACGCATGATTCTTCCTCTTGGGCTACTTATGGGCTTTTGCCCACTTTGTTCCAAATCCCTTTCTTTGCTTTTTTTTTTTGTAGGCCTTGCCTACAAGATTCATCAGCTTATAGGGACCTAGACTAGGATGTAATTCAGCCCAATCTCCTCATTTTATAGGTGAAGGTACTGAGGTCCAGAGAGTTAATGACTTGCTTAAGGTCACATAGGTAGTAAGTGGCCAAATCAGAATTCAAACCCAAGTCCTTTGAAATTTCAAAGCAAAATTTCTACTGTATCATCTAGCTCCCCAAACATGATACATGATGGTCTTTCTTTAAAATCTAGTTTCCCCTAACTGTCCACCCAGCCTACACACTTCCCAGGCTAGTCTTTCCATACAATGTACTTGGACATTTATTTGTGTCTCTGCTGACTGTGAGCTTCCTACTGAATCTTCCTTACTGAGAAGGAAAGTGTAGGCCCCAAGTGCCCACTCCATTACGAGATGTTTCCCCTAAGAGTGCTTGTTTTAAATACCTGTGAGTTGACTGACTTTTGCTGCTCAGAGGAAAGACGCTAAGGGTTAGAGAACACTCAATCTACTTAATTGGCCTCGGTGTAATAGCTAATTTAAATATGTGTAAGCAAACGCTGCAGAGGAAATCATCTCTAACAAAAGGATATTTGCTTAAAAGGTTTAGGTTTTTTTTAATCATGGATTTTTAGATAAAGTAATAAGGTATATTCTAAGATGGTTTGTTTAAAAGGCTGCTTTAACTTAATTTACATTTTACTTTCGTGGTGAGGTCAATGGTCTCTTAGGAAAAAAAAATCCCTGAGATACTGATGTCATAGGTATCACAGGGCCATGGTATTTAGAGCTGGAAGGGGCCCCCAAGGCCATCTGGCCCAATGGACTCATTTTACAGAGCAGGGAATTCATTCCTGGAGAGGGGCCTTATGCAAGGTCACATGGGTTTGAGGTGGAGAGGCAGCCTTGGAACTTCGGTTAGAGGCCGTTCCATGACATAAAGCTCATAGTCCAAGATGTTAGAGGTGCTGCACAACAGCCTTCTAACTGTATAGATGAGGCAGAAAGTCATCTCCTACCCAAGGTCCCAAAGTCATGCTAGTAAGCCAGAGAGTCGAGAAAGTAAACCCAGGCCCTCTGGCTTCCAAATCCAGGGGCCTTCCCCTTGAATTCACTTCTGGCAGAGTGGAACATTTTAACTCTGGGCACACTGCGGGGAACTGAACAATATATCCCTCTCAAAGTAAGAAAGGGGTGGCATTTCTCTCCCAAACATGACATATGGCCTTGTTATTCTCAAGAATGGTATCAGCAGAAGGAGGTATGGGGTGGGGAGTACCAGCACAAAGAGAGGAGCCTTTGGTCAATTTGAGAAGAAAAAAAAGAAACCACCACCACACCCTAGTTTCTTAAATTCATTTGCCTGTCCAGGCACTCCCATTCCAGATAAAGAGCGATCTCCTTCTAACCAAATGGGTGAACAGACTTAAATTCAAGACATAGCCCTGAAAAGAAATGGATAGATCCTGCTGAACATATCTGATCCTTTCAAGGATCTGGCAAGAATGCAGAATGCCTTGCCTCACCTACAAGATACCGGGGATGGGGCAGGGGGTTGGGGGGTGTTATTAACTGTAATTTATTCATTTCCTCTCTGCACTGTGCTCAAGACTGGGAGACTTGAGGTGAAAGGCAGAAAGCCTTCCAGGGTGCCTTTGGTGGGGGACAACAGCCACTCACTATACACTACTGGGCTTTTCTCAAAGGAGAAGAAAGAAATATTGGTGCTGGGGAGCCAATGGTGCCCGGAAGGGGCCACCAGAGGGGCTTCGCAGTCCTCTTTCCCAAGGCAGGAGACCTTCCATCGCCTCCTCCCTACAGCACCCTTCAGAACTCCACTTGCAGATTCTGTGTCTTCCTCTCCCTGGGTTTTGAAAGATTTTCCTTCAAGGCTTTCACCAGGCACCGTTCCGTCAGCCAGGTCTGGAGTAAATAGAGATAAGGATGATGTTTACCCAAAGCAAATGGGCTTCTGTAGCAGCTGGTAGGTCTACAGGGAAGACTGGATGCTGAAGTCTTTTAATTAGTACAAATTATGCTAAAATTACTCTAAAACCCTATCTGATAGATTATCTACAACAGTGGGAATTCCTTTAAATACCGGTGAGTAGTCTAGGGCTGGAACGCCACGGGCAAAGCGCATCTCTGCAGCCCAGGATTCCCTCCGTGTTGCATTATTCATGGAGTCATGGGAATGCCAGCCACTTTACATGTGCACCATTATTCCCTGTGAAGAATCCATGGGGTTCTCCTGGGGTGGGGGTATCAGGAGGGAAGTGGAAGGTTGCTAGGCACCAAGGATCCATACAAGAGGACGGCCTCTCGGACATCTTGGTACGCGCCACATCAGTGGAAAGCAGATGCAGAAGGAAGAGCACGCAGAATACACCCCTCGATTTCCTTGGATGAAAAGAAGGAAGATCACAGAATCCTAGAGTTAGGGCTGAGAGGGGCCTCAGGAGCCATTATGTAGAACCCACTCAGGTTACAGATGAGGAAACGGAGGCCTGGAGAGGTTAAGAGATCTGCTCCAGGTCACCACCTGGGCAGGGATTTGAACCGAGGTTCCGTGACTGTGAATCCGGCGCTCTTCCCACTGTGCCACGAGGCCTCCTGTGGTCTGGCTGTGGTTGGGATTCTTGGCAGGAGTCTGATTTAGGTTCTCCCCGTGCTGTCAGACTTAGGAGCAGAGAGTGGGAGAGCCAGAAGGGAACCTCAAATCCCGTGGTCCAACCCCCTCAGTGTGCAGGTGAGGCAGCTAGGTGTTCTGTAAGGAAAGAGTCCTCTCTTACCGCTGCTGATGCCCGAGTTGGCAATGACTGTGGCTTCACTCCACTGGTCAGCGCTGGAGACGGAGTAGGACCGTTGGTGCATCCCATCGGGGCGCGTGTTGAAGGACACTAAGCTGATGCCACTTGCCATCTGAGACACAGACGCACTAGCAGTAACATTCCCTGGAAACAAACAAGGAAGGTGAACAACACCGCATAGGACAAGCCTGCAGAACATCACAGTGATTTCCAGGCACTGGACGCCACCCGTAGCCAGTGGGGGACAGTGCCACCTCCCTCAACCCTCCAGGGAAAATGGGATGATACAGGCTCACATCGAACAAAGCAGCCTCAGGCTACTGTAAAATATGGGAAACAGACACATGGGATGAACTTAATCCCAATGATGATTCAGCCCTCCACAATTCTAAACAGGAAGGAGCTGCCTAAAAGCTGGTATCATCACCTGACACAGATAGGAATCAGGGATTGAAAGTTCCCTCTCTTTGACCAATGTGGGCTCTCCATTCAGCCGCCAAGAATGCTGATACCAACTGCACAAGAGTGATGGAAACCTGATTGTGCAACGCGCTGCTCAGCAGGGCCCTAACTAGCAATTCCGGCACCTGAGCAAAGACTGCAAGACGGCAACCAGATTAAAGGGACCATCAAAACCTGTGTGGCCGAAGAGCTTGAGGGGGTGGGCAGAGATTGCTCCTGGAAATGTGCCCCATAGTAGTGTAGACGTGGGCCGGGGAGCCACTCCCCTACAGTACTATCAAGCTGTGTACCTGGCAGCTTCCTTTTCTCACCATCTTTGCTAAGTTCAGCTGTTCTGCCTGCTGAATGAGGCCAAGTGCTTTCAGCACCCTCTACCTTTTGGTAGCCTGGGGAAAGCTCAAGGCACACCGCTCAAGTGGTGCCTCTTAAAGTGTCTATCATCCAAGGAACATAGCACACACTGCTGGACTTTTTTCTTGATGTAATGACTAGTTTTGCTGAACCTTTCTCTCTCTCTAAAAACAAGTTTTTCCTTATAAGAAGGGATGGCTCTGGGTAGGGAGCAAGAGGTGATATGCTGGGAAATAAAGACAATGTGCAAGAAAGATATTGATAAAAATTTTTTAAAGTATAATTATAAAAATTGGGAAAAGGCTCCTTTATTGAAAGTCAATCAGTAAAGGCACATTCCTTGATTAAGAGCTACAGAAGATCCTGAAATTCTTTAGCTTCTTTTGAACTTTTTTCCAAGTATGTTTATTGAGAACAGACCTACATTTTTATAAGCAAATGGTTGTTTTGAAAAGGGGTTTTTGATAACATTAATCCTCAATTATACCCTAGTACGATACATGCCAAATAGAGATGTGGCTTTACTTGCTGAATTAATTCCTGGTCTCAAAATACACACACAATACAAATATTAATATAAACAAAATTCAGAAGAAACATAATTCATGGGTAATCCCATGCCAAACATTTGGGATTATGATGCTGTCCTCTCCATCTTTTATCTACATAAGAAAACCAATGATTTCACAGTATAAACACAGTGCTTTCTGGAGGGAGAGAATGCTAAATGCCACAGACTAAGGCCTTCTTTTGTCCGCACACTATAAAAAAATGGGGAAATTAAAAAAAAATACCAAGAAAAATCAGGCAGGCTATAGATCTGAGACATAGACTTTAGACCAATTGAGGAATCACGCACAGGAAACAAAACAATCTGCAAACCACAGAAAATGACACAAAATATGCTTAATGGTGGAAAGAGCTCTGTGAACTCCTCTGTAATAGAGATCATCAAAATACATTAACAAATCTTTTTCATAAGAAGCTTATCAACAACTACATGAAACACTAAACAAGAGAAGTATAAAAGAAAATGATTGACATTTCATTTCACATTCATTAAATAGGCAAAGTTGATAAAGACAGAAACAGTCAATGCTGGGGGGTCTATGGGAAGACAGGCACACCAACACATCTTGTTGTGGTTTGGAACAACCATTCCCCAAAACGATTTGGAATGATGAAACCAGAGGCAGTAAGCAAACTGTCCAGACATTTTGAGCTGGAGGTTCCACTACCAGACATGTACATCAGCAAAGGTTAACAGCAGAGGGAAGGGTCCCATATCGACATATTTACAGAAGCCCTTGCAGCAGCACAAGACTGGAAACAAAGTAGACTCAAAGCTAGTCAGAAACAGCCAAACGAGTCGTGAAGTAACCGGGTATGTTACACCATAATAAACAGATATGTAAACTTGGAGAAACATGGGAAGACTTGTACACACTGATTCGGTCTAGGAAAACAGAACCAGGAGAAGAGCACACCCAATGACTGCAACACTGTCCGTGAAAACAATTCTAAAAGGAATCGCAATTCAAATAAAATGTGAGTAAATGTGGTTCCAGAAAACCCACAATAAGTACCTGCTCCCTCATGAGTAGAGAGTTGAGGGTTAACTAAGGGAAGGCAGACATGGAGATGGTGTGTGTCAAGGGCTTTGCTTTGCTCCTTTTTCTTTCTTAAAAGGAAATGTGTTCACTGGGGATGGGTTTGGAGTGTTCACTGGGAGCTGACCGAGGTGCTGAAAAGTCATCAATTAAACATTTAAAAGAGAGCTCTAGGAGAGATAGGAAGTTTCCACAGGACGTGGTTCCTATCTTCACGGAACTTCAGCCTCCTAGGAGAAATGACACATAGACATAATATAAATATAAAGGGACAGATGCTAAGGATACCAGAGAAAAGGAATTCATGGGTCAGCAGAAATCCTGGGACTTCTCCACATTCAAATATGACTCTGTTGACCCCAGCTCTCAGCCCAAATGATAAACCATCTTTCTTTTGCTGAGGCCCATCGTAATCATGTGTGTTGTTTCCTCTTCCCCTCCACCATCTTTCTATCTGGGGCCATTTAACACTTGACTATAGGTTCTTCCCTAGGACCAATCTGATCCCTGGGAAGTGACAATGTAAGGAGCCCTAGGTCAGGAGCCTGGACTTACTGTAATGCCAAGTCTGGCCTTTGTTTCCTCGTGACCAGGCCATGGATACAGAGCTTCTTGTACGAAGCCCTGAGGACTTAAATACAAAATCCAGAAGGGAGCAGTAGACAGACTGTTGGCCCTGGAGTAAGGAAGGCCTCAGACTCTCACCACCTATGTGACCCTGGGGCAGTCACTGAACCTCTGTCTGCCCAGAACCAAGCAAAAGGACAGATGTCGTCTGACCCTTTTGCCTTTTTTAATGCCCTCAGACTCAGCTCTACCTGGAGCTCATTCTAAACATGAGTTTTCTGAAAATACCCTTGCAGGGCCGTGACTGTCACCTCATGCTTTCTTTTCTCTCCAAGTCTCCCAAAGATAGAAGGAGCTTGGTGAGCTGTCTCCCCCGCCCTGATCCATCCATCGATGTCTCCTTAGCTAACCCCTCACTTCCAATTTCTGAACATTCTTTTTAAAATCCAAGTTAGTGGATGACTTTTCTGTACCCCTGAATCATCTCTTTGGACAGCTAACCCTTATCTGAAAAATATGTACCTGGATCCTCAAAATTCCACTCTTGATAGCATCTCAGATCTCTTGGACCTATTTCTTTTATAGAAAGTCAGGGCACAGGTATCCACCTGTGCTTTCTCAGAAATCTTTGAAACCCACAATCCCCCAGTCTGGGAAGCGTGGTGGACAAGGCCTGGTGGCTTCTTCTGGATCATCACAAACTCTAAGATCGCCTGGTTACTTCCTCTAGAGAGCATGGCTACATCTGTTTGGTGGCCAGTTTAGGCCTAGAGGAACAAATGTCCTGGTTACAGTCAATGACTGATGACGAAAACAAGTCCAGAACCCACCAGCCACAAATGCCGGTAATCGAAGTTCCCCATCACAACTCTCCCATAGCCTCCATCCAAGGTTTGCACTCTGCTTCCCAAACTCATTCTTATCTATTTTCTCTCTCTAGTGAGGGTGGGGTGGTGTCGGGGTACTTCCATACTTACACCACAATATCACTTGTTTCTCTTGTGGCCTTTAGGATAGAGGCCTAGACCTGGAGACAGGAAGAAATGGAATCCAACCCCACCTCTGACACTAACTAGCTGCATTACAATTTATTGGGGCCTCGGTTTCTTCCTCTGTAAAATGGGTGGAATGATATCCATTATGTCTATATGTTGTTGTTGAGTTGTTCCAGTCCAGTCTGACTCTCCATGACCCCATTTGGGTTTTTCTTGGCAGAGATACCAGAGTAGTTTGCCCTGTCTTTCTCCAACTTATTTGACAGATCAGGAAACTAAGGCAGACAGGGTGAAGTGATTTGCCTAGGGTCACACAGCCTGTAAGTGTCTGAGGCGGGACTTACACTTAGGTCTTCCTGACTCCAGACCCAGTGCTCTATCCCTTGAGCCTAGCTGCACTCTAATTCAGTCACACTTCTGTCTTTCCAGATTCTCATCATGAATCTCATCTCACCAGAAGCTCATGAGGCTCCCTTCTTGTTGCAGATCTGGTGCCCACTCTTGAGAGGTCCTGGGAAGCCTCTCTGCTGGTGGTGCTGGTCAGTATTCACCAGCATCTCTTGGTGCACAAGGACCCGTGCCTTCTCTGATGGTCTAGTGCTACCTTTGATGGGAAGACCTTCCAATCTTCCCCATGTCTCTACAGTTGGTGGTCATCTGACTCACCTTCTTCCACAGTTCACCTCTGAGGAGGAGGGTGACCTCTTCTCTGCTTTGTCCACCCTTTATCTTCCACTCAGTGCCCCCGCCTTCCTTCTTGCCTCAAGTCTCTTCCTGTCTGCCTACAATGGCCAAACCCACGTCCCTACAACTTCAACCTGAGCGTGTCACTCCCCGCACTCCAGCAACCTGAATCACTCCTGGTCATCTGTAGCATCCCAATAGCAACTGCTCTGGCTGACAAGTACAGCTCCTTGTGACTCAGCCCCAATCTAGCTTTCCACTCCTGCTATGCCTGATTCCCCATAATGTTAACACCTCTTTTCTCTTGATTATCTCCAATTAATTCTGTCTAGCCTCTTTGCATGTTGCCCAGAGTTATCTACAAGCTAGTCCTGGACTCAAGAAGATCCGAGTTCAAATCTGGCCCCAGACCCTCATTAGCTGTGGGACCTTGGGCAAATCACTCCACCTCTGGTTGCCTCAGTTTCCTCAATTA